CACACACACACACACACAAGAACAGTTTACCCTATGAGGATTTTCATTATCAAATAGTCTAGATCTGTAGCAAACACTCAGATGAAATCTTTGCTGAAAATTTGAAACTTGATTTCTTGATAGCACTTACCCTGGGTGAACTATTTTCTTTGAGTCCAATTTCAGAGTATCTTACATCCTCTCCAGTCTTCATTGAAGAACATAACACAATTAAAAACATCTGCGATAAATATGTTTTTAGTATCATGTACCGTGCACACAGAGAAATAAATCAGCATAACTTACCATTGCTGTCGCTGATAATTCTACTTTGCGCTTCTCTAGCAAAACAAAATTGCCGTTACTGACTCACTTTAACAATGCTCAATAACCTAACTATTAATTCAGTTCTTAATATTTATTAGAAAATTTAGTGTGGATTGAAATCAAGCTCCATTAAGACTTACTGTGACTCAGTATAAACCAGATTAACACCATAATTAAAATCAAGACCAACACACTCAGAGGGATGATGAGGATCTTTGTGTCATATGAAGCTCTGCAACATACAGGTTGAGAACATAATTTAGTTTACTTTAAGAAGTAATAATAGTGTCCGTAAAAATTTGTATGTATAATCCCTTAAAATATTTTACGTCTAAATACTGCAAATAAATATAAAAAATATCTGACCTGTGTTCTTTATTTTCTTGTACTGTAGAATTGTTCCATTTTGATAATTGTTTCACTTATGGCAACAGTATGAGTTGTAGATATAGAAGTAGAACATAGTAGAACATTATAGCAAGAGTACTGTAACAGTTACAAACCTAAAGTACAAATATTTATAAAAGTATTGAATTCATTTACATGTAAAATCTTTGATAACTTGCAATACTCACTCTTAATCGGTTTCTCAGTAACATTTAAATATACTGGTATCTGAATGTCCCCTTCAGAACACCAATACCAGCCACTGTCCTCTGACCTTAGTCCAGTCATGGTCACTGTGGAAACATCTGGGTCTCTCATATGAGTGGTCACTGTTGTTCCATCTATGGATCCAGATGATCCTGTCACACAGTTCCTGCCCAGCCTGCACCACTTCATTTCTCCAGAGTTATTCGGGTGACATCTAATAGTTATGTTTTCTCCAATATATCCTGTAATCTTCTGATGATCCACGTAGAGACTGGGGGTATCTTCAAGTAAAATTCAGTTTAAAGAAAGCAAAAAACCCAAAATGCCAATACTTTTTTCAGTGCTGAATAAAAATAATATAGGTGATTAAGATTTCATGTTGATTCTCATTAGCTTTGAATGACAAGTGCATACTCAGTCTTAAAAAATGTTATTTTTTCTTTTCTTTTTTTTTTCAAAAAAACGACATTGTAAAGAATTTGAAATGTTAATAGAGATGTGCACTTACCACTGGTAACTGATAGTTGAAAATACTGTCCGCAGTCCGGTCCATTATTAATCTCCACCACACACCAGTAATCAGTATTTTGATTTGTCAGATTTTTTATAGTCACAGTAAAAATTTGTCCTTTTTTGTCATCAGAGATTGAATATTTTCCTGAAGGGTCTGGTTTGTTTGTTTTTACTGCATAGCTGCAGGAGCTCCATATATGTCCTTCACACAAGTACTTCACATGGTCTATATATTGTGACTCATAGAGACATGGGATGGAGATAGATTTTCCAGCTTCCACTGATACTTTACTGACTGTGGTTATGCTGTGAACTCCTGCAACAAGAACAAAGTATTTTATTGGTTATGTTTAATTAAAACATTCTTCCTTCATTTGTCTCTTGTATATGTAGATTCTTAGAGTGTTGTTAAGTACAAAACAGAATAAACTAAAAATTATTAAAAGCCATTATTTTTATCATCTACTGACACTAACCTTTGAAAAACATGAAGTATTTTAATGATTCCTGTGACTGACCTTTGAGCACACTGAAAAGAAGAAGAACGATGAGATGAGCAGCCATGCCTGTGAGTGAGTAGAATGAAAACACCTGAACCACAGTCAAGTCTGGTTCTATTTTTGAATTTAAGCAACATGCAAATGCAACACTTAAAACCTGCCTTCCTGATAGTTCGTCATACAATAAGGTGTTTTTTTTCTGCTGTCTTTTGCTGTAAACTAAGTATGAAAATTACCATCCACAACATTGCTACAAGTAAACAATAATATGCATTCTCATAATATATAATAGCACTGACAGTGCAGGAAGCGAAAACAGTAAAAAAAAAACCTCTATTAAACAGGATGAGTTCTCACAAATCCTGAAAATAGGGTTCAGGATTATCCTTTGGTGTCGATGCTTTTGATAATTCTTTATTTCTTTTAAACCAGAAATCACGTGATCTTAAAGAAAGGAAATGGTAACAAAGAAATTGTGCAATAAACTTTCCTGCTTTGCAAGAATAAAGCTTTGTTGTTGTAAAAGAGATGAAAAGAGTTACTAGGACAGGAAACAAAATATTGCAGCAGTAAGTCCAATAACTTAGGGACAGATAAAAAGGCAAAAAAGCTTAGTATTGAAATATTTCATTGATGATTAAATGCACTCAGGTGACCTTTTTTTCACCCTGATGGAGAACAGAAATAAATATGACAATTAGGAAGGAAAAGCAACAAAAAAGTGATCAATTAGAATGGAAAGTTGCATATTTGCCCTTTTCATATCTTTTATGATTGAAGCATAACTGTACATGCTGTCCACATCATTTTGATTAAATCACCTTCATGTTGGAACAGAAATCGAAAGTTTTACACTTTGAAGCATTTTAAAAGTTTTATTATGCTGGACTTTTTAGGTCATTTTAGGTCTACACTATGGTTAAATACAAAACTATGGTGGTAGTATATTGATGATAAATGATATAATTTTAAACCCATTTGTTTTAAGTTACTTCCTCTTCCTGCCTAGACTGAGAAAATATAATTGGCAGAAAGAATAAATAGTGTCTACCTGATCTCACGTCCAACGTGTCACAGATGTTTAATCAGCAATGCTTTGTGTCACATGTTAACTTTCTGGATGCCAATTATTAAGTGCCAGTTTTAGAGGGCTTCACAGCATTCAGCAGTTTATTCAAAGACATCAATTCCTTCTTAAATTTAAAAGTTCACACTGTAATTTATTATTCATTTAGTATTGTGTAACATGCTCATAAGGAACTAACTTTTTATAGTGTAGCTATGTAGTTTTTCTACTGTGGCAGATCAAAACGTCTATGAAAATGGCCTCAAAGGTGCTGTGATAGAACTCAGGTTTCTTATTTATATTAAATGGGTGACACTGCCACCACCTTTGTTAAAATGTCTGGTCTGGTGTTGAGATGCCAAGGAATACCAAACAACCAAATACTTCAACACACAAAAGCTGTATTTGAAATCGAGGTAAAGTTTAAAGCCCCCAGAAATAAATAAAAATACATCAGTAGCCTACATAAGACATTGGCCAATAGTATGCTGCTTCCTGAATTATGGCATATAAAGAATAAATCAAAATATTATCAAACAGTTATATTACTGTCCTGTACACGTGCTAATGTGACTGTAATGGTTTTGCTTTGAGAATAATTCCATGAATATGTTCTGAAATGCCAACACTAGTTTCTGCTTTTGACAAAGTAGTGCTTGAAACTACATAATTTTCCTGAAATGTGTGGCTTGTTTGTGTTAACTGCATAAATAAATGTGTACCAACAACAATTAGATTGTTTCATGGTTTCTGTGCTGCCTTCAATATTACCTCTACAAACTGTAGTCTTGCTGTGGATTCCTCCAACTAGAACAAGCATGCCAGTGATATAATATTACAATCTGTTATCTGCATATTTTGCAACAGAGACAAACAGAATGGAAAGTGTAAGTATATAGGATAGTTAAGTAAAAAGGGAGATGACAAGTAAACCATTATGAAGCTTTGGTGCTGCAATGGGTGATGCTCTGTGTCTTTATTGGTTATGTTACATTTATTAACATTTTTAGCACATAGATAGCCTTACTTGGTGGTTTTTCTGTGGTTTTGGCTGAAATAAGAAAATCAGTGGTTACTTTTATTAAAGCTGTGAAAGATTTTCTGTCATTTGACAAAGACAGGCTGGGTGGCACTGGGAGAAAGCCTGCCCCCTTGTATGTGTATTTGAATTAAATGCTAGTTATGTTGGCAAGGAGCAAAAACCTCCTTGTCTAATGAGCACATTTGTATTTTCTCTGAGGATATGCTAATATTTACATGTAAGCTAGTGTGTGTGATTGTGTGTGTGAGATGCTCCAGTCACAGACACACAAAAAACT